TAATAAATTTAAAATATTTTTGAATTTAATTAGTAAAATTTAATACTGAAAATTTACAATAGAAAAATAAAAAAAGCCAATAGAATTAGAAGCCAATAGAACAAACATAGTAAATATGACAACCCTGATTATATACTAGTTGTAAACCTGTGCAATAATATACAGGAATAAACTTATAAAATTTTTAAATATAATTTTAAGGAAAAATGTGTTTGTCGCCGCCAGTAATAGTCACCAGTCACGTGAATGAATAAGTATAAGCATGTACATATATAATTTAGCTATAATTTAGCACAATTATTCTTTTTATATTTTCGTGTAATACTATTTATAAGACCTGCACATGCAAGTATTACTTTAAGTCATACTATTTTTAGATAGTAGGGTGATACTATAGTATAAACAAGAAAATATTGCTACGTATATACTTATTATACTTCGTCTCTATAACAGATAAACGATAAAAGATTATAGTTATAAGGTTTTTATACTGTATATTCATACATATCAATCAAGTTTTTTGTTACAATATTTGGAAGAAATTTGTCTTCTAAGCAAGGTACTGTATCTTGGTCTAAAATTCTTTTATATAGTTCAAGCTTTAATGATTTATTTACACAGCTATGGAAACTTTAATTAGAAGTCTACAAAAAACTAAAAACAAGGCCACAAAAAAAATAATAAATAAAGAGCACAAAGTAAGGGCAAGACAAAGCCTAAATAAAAATAAGAAGAAACCAATATAAAGGCAAGGCAAAGCTAGAACAAGAAAAAAACAAAACTAAAATAATAACAAAGCAAAACTAAAAGACAAAGCAAACCTGAAATAAGAACAAAACGAAGCTAAAGCAACCACAATAAAATAATGTTGCCCAATGAAAGAATATCTCAGTCTGATAATAACAATGAAATTTTGCTACCTAGTAATGATGAAACTGCACTGTCTAGTAATGAAGATGATAATATACAACATAATAACACAACAATGCTTGATAATAATCTACAGTCAAATAATATTACTGAAGGCTTAATTACTAGTACTACAAAGTACTAAATTTTTGATTTTTTTTGCTATATTTGTAGATTAATATTATTGAACTATTTTTAGTTTCCTTATTAAAGAGTATTTAAAGCAAATTGATTAAAATTAGGGTTAGAGTTTCTAAGAAATTAAAGTTTCAAAATAGTTATAGATTTCTTAAATAAGGAAGCAAAAAATAGAATATATTAATTTCTGTTAACAAATCTAACTAAATTTTTTTTTTTGACTTTCTTACTTTAAAATAATCTAAATTTTAGTTCTTTTTCACAACAAATCATAACTCCACCTTATGTCGAACAAGTTTTTAAAACTTGGCAGAAGGTTGATGAATATTTTCAGGAATATGCCTAGCAAAAAAACTTTGTAGTCATTAAAATTAGAAATAAATGGGGCCCTCTACCAGACCAAACCTATAGGCGATGCACTTATACATGTGACTGTCAAGGAACTTATGAACCTAAAAAGTCTGTAATCTTAGAAAATCAGCGAAATAGCAAATCAAAATACACTGGGTGCCCTTGGCATATTAATATAACCTTTCCAAAAAAAGCTACAACTATTAGCATAACATCTCTGAATATTAGTCATAATCACCTACTTGATTCTCAGACTAATTTGTATGCATCCAAAAATCGAACATTACCTGAAGCTGTTGAATGAGAAATTTGCTTTTATACAGCAGAAGGAAATCTTAATACAACAATTCAGCGCAGACTTCTCTCTGCAAAGTTTCCTAATGTTATGATATACCCGCGTGATCTACAAAACTTAATTCAAAATATAAAATAGCTAATCAGGAGGAAAATGATGCTTCAAAACTCCTAAGACATTTACTTAACAAAAAAGCTAAAGAACCGGGATAGGAAGTATTTTGGGAGATTCACCCTGAAACAAAAAGTTTGGATAAAGTATTTTGGATGTCACCAAAGCAAGTCCAATTGTAGATTACTTACCATGATGTTATATATATATATATTTTTTTTTTTTGATGATCATGCCACATGCCCTGCTTTTATTGATCATATATGACAATCCAAAGGATTTTTATATTA